GTCAAAAAGCCTTGATACAATAAACAAATGTTTGTGATTTGTTTTATGCATTTGAAATTTAAAATGGGTCGGTGACGACCCTAACACGAGAGGAAGGTTAAATCCAATAGAGACAGAAGATTAACTAAAATAATGACTGATTTTTAACATTCATAGTAAATCTAAAAGGAGGAACACAGGTAGGATTAAAACTGTTATCTCTTTATTTGTATGCAAACATTTAATCATATAGTACACCATAATGCAGCCAGGTCACCACAAGACTTATCACCTTTATCACCTTTTTTGAAAAAGTTAAAGCTGAACTATTGAAATGTTGGGTTTAATTATGTTGCACAACTGTTCTTAAGTGTTCTGTTATTGAAATATACAAACATGCAATAATATCCAAAAATCTCCTTATATGATTTTTGTGACTTTAAAACAGCAGGATGCCTTGATATTTTTTGATTTATTTCTGCACTAAAGCCGCAGCAAGAGTTGCATTGTGGGTAATGTAGGCACCAGAATTTGTGGAATAAAGAGGAAGCCCGGCAATGTTGTTGTTATTTGACTGCATAAGAGTTGAGGGTAAAATATAAACAATCTGATGTTAAAGTGTCACGTGAAGATGTGGTAAATTTGGTCTTTAGTAGTAAAAGGAGAAAAATGCAGTTTCAAAAGTCCAAAGGTGTAAAACAAAATTGGGCTCTTATGATCTGGATGAGGTTTTCAGATCAAAAGAGTTAGCGGGAGCCAAAACAGATTTGTTGACAAAGGACAAAAGGAAAGACGTGACTAATTATATACAGAGGACTGATTACACAACAAGACAATTAAGACAGGGCAGGCAATCGCAAGCATGGACATTCAGACAGGAGAAGACAAGTCACACATGGAAAAGGAGTGAGTGAGGACGATGAGATAAAGTACAGATGAGTGAGATGACACACAGGGAGGAGAAACTACCAACGTAAGGCAAGACAGAGAGGAAAAGACAGAAACACTGGGACACTACAAACACAAGAAATGAATAAGAATAAAATTTAACCAGGAACCAGAACCCAGAAACAGAAAGTAATGTTTGTCCTGCACCCTGTAACACTGAAAACACATGAACATTAACTGTCTCAGGAGTCTTAGCAAAACACTGCCCGTAACCAAAACAAGTGACTGTTCACTTGAGGTCGGTGCAGTGATAACTAATGAGACAGTGAATAATCACAATACTTCAAACTACAGTTCCTGTACTGAGAAAGAAAAATCACAATTTCATGGAGGGACAGAAACAATGAAAAGAGATGTGCTGAAAAGTGAAATGACAGCATTTAGCACATCGTGTCAAAATAAGAGTTTCACATCAGTGATTTTGTTTTAATAACTAGCAAAGTTAAAATTCAAGTGATTGCTCTGAAGCCATACTTCAGAGGACTAACTTTTAAACTTACGTACGAAGTAACTCGAAATATCAACCTAACCTTGTTTGTTAGTTGTTGTTCATCCCCTCCATGCCCTAATTATTTCTTATTTACTCACAACATGCAGCAATCACAGACTCACAGGACTCTTTACACACTTTTTCTGCAAACTTTTGCAAACAATAAAATGTGTTGTGCTTTTTGTGCAAATAGAAAATCTGGTTAAGAGAAAGGTCCGTTTGTGGTTTGTGAGTTGAAATAATCCTTTAAGGAGTTTGGAGTTATATAAATAATGACTTCTGCAAACTCCAGCACAAGCATAGATAAGATAAGAAGTGATGTGAACAGAAACAAAGGCAAAGACACAGAAAAGGAGAAATCCTAACAATCAGAAGGTGCAGATAACCATTAACTCTTTATGAGCAAGACTTCTGTTGCCCATAATGCAGCACTGAGAACTGCAAAGCTTTTTGTGAGGATCTGTAATATTTCAAGATGACACAATTTGCACATTTAAATAAGTTATGTTGTTATAAATTTTTAAAAAGGAGAAAAAGACCTAAGAAATGCAAAAAAAACTAAAATAAAACCCTATAACCTCATTAGAACCGTCTTCAGCATACCACACACACAGTAAAACACATCATTATGCAAAATTTTAAAAAATTGAGTACAAGCAGAATCAATTCCTCACCCAGTGGTCCTGTGTTCAGGTTGTCTGGACATGAAGCTCCTCTCAGTCTCAGTGCAGGACTTTCACTGACGGACGGCAGCGCTGGACTTAAGGATTAACTGAGGCTACATATAGCCTCAGTTATTCTGAGGGCAGCAGTGGTCATGTTGACAGGGTGATCAAGACAGGACAAGGCTAGACAACAGAGACACACAAAACCAAGAATAATGCCACAGTGATAGTGACAATATGTAAACAACACACACTCTCACAATATGCTGTGCACTGCCGTTTTCTTTTCATCCTTTACTGTGATAAATACAGCAGATTTATATAAAAAGTATGCAGTATATAAATACTGAAGTCTTTAATCATTACAAAAATAAAACAAATTCTTTTAAATTATTTTGAAATTCTCTAGAACTCATCTTGAACAAATATTAAACATGGCAAGGAAACTATTTATGTAATTTATTGACAAGAATAAATAACTACCAGCATTATCTTCAAAGGCTTTTCCCCAAGTCCTTGATTCATTAATAGATGATGTGTTTCAGGTTTTTACACATTCAAACTCAGTTTTAAGACACTCCTAAAGAAAACCACACAGACCTTTTTGTGTGAAAGGTTCACACAAGATTAAAGAAGCATTTTTATCAATTTACCAAAGTTAAACTAAAACATAAATATGTTTTAGTTTAACTTTGCTACTTTCGGCAGACTTAAAAAAAATTACAACAAAAAAAAAAAAAAATACAAAACATTTCTTTCTCCAGGATGTCAAACTTTCAAAGGAAGATTCAGGTTTACTTCCACAAGTTCTGCAGTAGTATAACCTCCGACTGTCTTTGAATGCAGCATCAACAGCTCCCGAAGGACGCTTCAGGAGCCAGCAGGTGTTATACTGAGGAGACAGAGAGCATCCACAGCACGGACGGTCAGCATGTCTCTGCCGGTTCAGTTTCACTTCGGCGTCCGAAGAACGAGAGAGCTGCGAGAGCTGCTGGAAGACGAGGACAAAATAACTCACATGGTCAGGAGCAGTGAAAAGGTGAGTGAAAAAGATGTTTAAACTAACACGAATAAGAAGTATTCGGATTCTTTTAAAAGTGCAGCGCTTAACAAATTCATTAGACCACGTTTCCCAAATTTGAGCCTGCACCCTTGAGATCTCCGAGAAGTAATTAAGTGAAGTGAATAACTGTAATTTGGCATCTTAATAAAAAGAAAAATGTTAATATGCTTTAGAATTTGTTACTCCAAATTTATTCCAAAATTGATGGATAAAAACAATAATTATATGTTAAAATTACAAATATAATGTGCACACATGTAAATAAAGACAGAGAAATTTATTTTCGTAATTACCAACATCGTTAATTGAGGGCATTGGGTGGTAAATGTGTTAAGTAGGTTACTCTGCTTCTTCGAAGTACTAATGGCACACAGTAAAATACTCTAAGAAATATTAAAAGTATTCATACTTGCTACATAAAAATGGTCCCTGTCAATGTCCTACTATTCGTCAGTGTTATAAAATCATTAATGCAGGGCTGGAACTAATTATTATTTTCATTATAAATTCACAGTAGAACCTCTTCCATTTTATAATCTTTGACTATCAAGTATTTAATATTTATTGCTTTAAAAAAGAGATTTAAACAAACATTATAATAGCGACTAATACATTCCTCCCAGTTGATTAATCAATCAAACATCTCGGGTCTGCTGTTGTTTACTTTTGCACATATGGGGGAAAAGCACAGCACTAATTCATTTCTTGTTTCTAAAACAAGATGTGGTGCTTTTTTAGTTTCAGAGGCTCCAGCAGGCTGCGCAAAAGACACGGATTTCAAATCAAAAGCTGGCCAAAGTCAATCTTACCCAGAAACCCAAGTTTAGAGATGCAAAGCTGCTGCTTGCAGTGAAGTACAAGGAGCTGAAGAAACTCAGAAGCATCATTCAGGCCAAACAAGATCAACTCGGTAAGTGAAATCCCTTCTGGTCTGATTTTCTTTGCCTGTCCAAAAACTATTTAAACAACATGCTGAAACACTTTAATTTCTCACTATAGCAGAAAAATACAGTGTTCATTATGCTCACTGGTGTCTCCTGAACAAGATCAGACATGCAGAGGAGGAGTCTGAGGTGAGGAAAAATTTTTTTTTAATTATTTGCAGAGCCACTTTGTTGATCTGTGATCAGTGAAGTATTTTCTTTAATCAACTCTGTCACGGTACGTCACACACTCAAATACCTTGTTGATAATAAGACGATAGTAAATAAATCTCACTGGATTACATCAGAAAGATCTGCAGGATCAAGATCTGTAGGAATAAAAGGTTTGCCAAGTAAATAAAAAAATAAACAAAACATAGGATTCTTTTGTTTTTTTCACACTTATATTAATTCAGGAGTAATATCCCTGCATTGGCTCAATATGTTCACTCTGTCTGGCAAAGTTGTGGCAAACTATTATCCCATTATAAAAACAATCCTAAAAACACAATAAATATATAGAGTTTGGTTGAAAAGTATTTGGACAGAGACAATGTTTTTCTAATTTTAGTTTTGTACAATACCACAATTTTTCTATTTTAGCAACTTAAGGATGGCTTGTTTCACCTGCATGGAGAGCTGCATTGACCCATGTTGTCTGTTCACAGCTAAATCTTCCAAATGCAAGCACCACACCTCACATCAACTCCAGGCTTTTTATCTGCTTAATTGACAATGACATAATGAAGGAATTGCCCACACCTGCCCTTGAAATAGACTTTGAGTCAATTGTCCAATTACTTTTGGGTTTTTTTTAAAAGAGGGTGGCACATGTTAAGGAGCTGAAACTCCTAAACCCTTCATCCAATTTGAATGTTGATACCTCAAATGAAAGCTAAGAGTCTAGACAATATGCTCATGTCCATTATATAACTGCCATTGGAATATGTTTCATTAAACAGTTTTAAAAAAAACTTGTGTCAGTTTCCAAATATATATCAACAGCAAGCTAAATTTTTCCCAGTTTAATACCCATAAACATTTCAGATTGATGCTGGAGCCAAGTTGTGCTCTAATGTGCTGCAAAACGCCTTCTGTATGTGTTTCTGTCTCACAGCTACTGTTTCAGAGGTTTACAGATGGAAAGACAGCAATACAAGATTTTTTGGAGCTCTTTGTGAGCTCACAGAAACTCCACCACATCAGGTTGGTCCTGATGAAGAACCTGCAGGAGATAATCCGAAATGAAACAAAAACAGCACAAAGGCTCAGTGAGGCTCACTATTTGTCTCTGGGCCTTCCTGAGCAGGTCAGTTTGACCACAGCTGCTGTCTTACCTCCATTCCTACTGGTGCTTGGCGCCCACATAAACACTGTGCCCTGTATCCAGCCTTCGCTGTTTTGCTCTGATGAGGATGAGCTCCTTCGAATGGGAGTGCACCTCCGAGGCCGCAAACCCATCCGTCTTCAGCCACTGAACATGCAGCCGAGGAGGCACCAACCAGCACCGCACTGAAGTCATGGATTTTTAATCAAATTTAGTCTGGATTAATGTGTTTGTTGTAATAAATAAATAAATAAAATAAATATTGAAAAACAGTAAAGCATGGGTAGAAGAATATATTCAGTTATATCAGAAAAAAAAAACTCAGCAGGTTTATTGTTTATTCTGCAGAAAGGGGTTCTTTGGGGACTAGACCACTAGTTAACTGGGCAGGGACCGGAATTAGTTAATTTTCAGTTTGTTTGGACTGATGACTGACCAGCCACTTAAATCATCCTCAACAAACTTAACATGGACATTTTAAAGAAGCTACCAAATGCAAAGTGACTAAAGATAAAGCGCTTCATAGCTCAGAGTTTTATTTGTTTTTTTTGTTGTTGTTTTTTTTGGAGGGGGATCATCCAACTCCCCTCAGAAACAGTTCCTAATGTATTTACTCTGCTGCTTTACTTTGAGTTACACATTTTTTGAAGCCTCACAACTCTATGAAGACCTTGAAATCCTGAAAGGTAGCGTTTTCTTTTCTTTTTTTTTAATCTTTTGCACACCAGATCTGTGTCTTTAACTCACAGCCAGCATATAATGGATACCACTCAGCTTTTAATGCTAGTGCCATTAGTGGAATATTATGAGAAAACACTCTTGCTGAGCTTACGCAAAGGTATCTTTTGAAGCACTTTTTAACTGATGTTGATGACAGTTCTGTCTGGAGGGCAAAATTCAACTCATCTAGCTGACTTCTTTTCTATTCATTTAAAGGTGGCTGTGTGCATCTGAAGTCATTACAAAGGCATATGAACAATGCCCCGTTTACTTTTTCTAAAGTTTTGTTTTGCTTGCACATGATACATGATTTCAGGTGATCGATATGGAGGTTGTTTCCACAACTGAAAAAAAAAATGCCATTCATAATGAAAAAGTTTTATTCATTCAGTGCTGGAAACAAGTGTCCATAGAACCATACACTGCAGATATACTATTTTAACATAGTAAACCACACCAACAATAACAGGAGGAAAAATGGTAATTTGGTAACAGTAGCAGATGATACACAAACACAGACACATGCTTCTGAGCTTTTAGCCTGTTTAAATAAGAAGGCGGTGGATGTTGGCATGTAACCAAATCAATGCAAAGGACATCAGCAAGTTTGTTTTTTGTTTCCAAGTAACAAACTTTGATCATTTTGATTACAGAGTTTTAACTTAAGGTGATTTTACTGTAAACGCTGTCAGTAATTATAAACTGGTTAGAACACAGTAATGTTTTCTCTGGTGAACTTGAACTGCTCACTGACACTCGATACCTGCAGCCATTTATGCCCAGAGACTCCTGCCAAGGTCAGAGAAGGAGCACAAACAACGCTTCCTTCATGATGATGTCCACGCTCAAAGTCTTTTGATAAAAGACCAACGAGTCCATGTCCTGCTTTGGCTCAACATGGACTCGCCTGAGCAGACATTAGGGTTAGCCAGGGTGCCATGTGGTCCACCACACTTTGCCATACCAGTTCAGCCATGGAGATGATTAGCAAGGTGGACCATGTATACGGGCTTTTGTTCCAGCACAGACTTCAGTTTCATC